AGAAGACCCCGCTCTCTCTACCCAGCTGCCAAAAGGAGGTCTGCGTGGAGAAGCCCCTTCCCCTGCAGGGAGCAGTAGATAGTGAGGCTGTCCACTGGCCCTCAGGGGATCTCCACAGCTGGGGCTGCAGCCCCAAGTACTCACTGCTTAGGATTCAGTGGATAGGAAGGGGCTGGTCTCCTAGGGCATGGGTGGCACCTTCTCACTGTGTCCTCACTTGGCAGAAAGACCTTTTCTAAGGGCACTTGTCTCACTCAGGAGGGTCCCATCCTCGGGACCTAGTCGCCTCCCACAGCCATCCCCTAACACCATCACTTCAGCGCTGAGCCTAACACCTCACTTTTGAATGAATTTTGGGGCCACACCAATATGCAGTGAATAGTCAGCCTATTAGGAAACAGATAATTAGATAACCATATGGCAGCCTGGCCCAGGGGCTCCACATCTCTATTTTTGTAAATGTGACCAAACCAAAGGAACTATGCCCATATATATTTCCAGATCCAGGCCACCAGGTTACATTCTAGTCTTGGTGCTGTCAGGAGAGGCCCTTATAATTATTCTAAGACCATTAATTAACTGTGTGCACACTCAGGATTCTGTAACAGCTGCTTCTCTGTGAGCTCTCTGTTCCTGGGTTTCTCCATCCACAAAGTGAGATGTTTTGCTCTATCTGACTTAGAGCTGTGACAATGCTGGTGATTCCCTTCAGGAATACACATCTGTGCAGAACGTCAGCCCAGGACAAGTTAAGTGTAAACCCTGGAGTCAGATGGAATGAGATTACGGTCCCACTTGGGCACAGCAGGTAGCCAGAACACCAGCCTTGGTGTCCTGGTTCATATCTATGAAAGAAAATCCCTCCTCCTGGGCATGATGTAGTGGAAATGACACTGACCAGCACCTGGTACGGTGTGGAGCTCATGCCTGGGCTCCAGTGACTACCACCATGCTGTGAACTGAGGAACTGAGTGAGACCTCGAGCTCGGCAGGGATGTTGCCCACCGCCCTCCCAGGGAGGGCTCTCTTGCATCTCCAGGTGGCTAAGGTCTGGACAGGTGCGTGGCCATGGAGAGGCTGCTGGCCTCACTTCACTGGGAGGAGCCTTCTGGAGTTGGTGGAGTGGTGGTGGGGACGCGGTGAGCAAGGCAAGGCAGCCTGTGGCTTCCTTCGGGGATGCAGTGCCACTGGCCCAGCTGCGCCTCCCGCAAGCTGCCCTCCACAGTGTCCTCATCAGCAGCCACCTGCTCAGGGGCCAGGCGCCCAGCAGAATTTCCACATCCATCCCTGTGGCGTCTGTGGGATCTCCGGCTGCCTTTATATACCGCAGTGATCAACTCAGGACATTTAAGTTGATCCGTCTCACACACATAGCGCTTCTCATGACGAGAATATTCCAGATCCTCTCTTCTAGGAATTTTTTTTTCTTTTTCTTTTTTTTTTTTTTTT